TTAAAAGTGTCACAGCCCGTCCCGAGATCTTTTACCGAAGTATGAAAAGATGGAATTGTCCCTAAAGATTTCTAAGGTGTGTGTGTGACTTATACATTTGATTAATATTGTCCTTCCTAAGTTTGTGGAAATTTAATTTGGAACTTAGGTTATGTTTTCAATTGTGTGGTTAGGGATTAATGTGGACCACACACACACAAACCTGCCTTTTCTCTCTCACTCCCGTGGACTTTCTCTCCCTTCTCTCTCTCGGTTTTTCTGCACCTTTGTCACTGTGCACGTACGGACAAGCTTATTCTACGCCATTTCTTCACAGATCGAAGGTTCTAAGGTAAGAATCGAACTCATCTTGAGTCTCTGAGTTCAAACATACTAATTTTGGAACTTAAGACCTTCGAAATTATCGTGAAACCCTAACCCCGAAAATGTGCACTGTTCATGCACACATAAAACATTGTGTTTCAGGGAATTTCAAGCTCACAGTGAGCTTAAGGAGGTTCTCACGAGCTTCGGGGTACTTCGTTGGTAGAATTTAGACGTCGGAGGACTGAGAACGAAGCTTTTCAAATTTGGCCGGATTATCGAGCTTCCTCAAGTAAGATCTAGTAGATTTTAGATCTTGAAACTTGTTTGACGTGATTCTACATGCTTAGGGCTTCATTTTGGTATAAATTGCGTGAGAAATGGTGAAGAATCGAGGGAGAAACCTTAGTTAGAAATTTTCCCAGTTTTTCGGCGCCGACGAGATTTTCCGGCGTCTAGAGGTAAGGGATGACGTGCGTGGGGGCGCATGCGGCGTTGAAAAATTATTCTAAAAATATCTCAACGTTCGTGAAGTCGAGTAGGTCACTGTGGTATATTCATATACCCAAATTGAGCATCGTATGAGAATTATTACGTATTGTTGGTTATGTGCTTTAAAATAACGTTTTTATAGTTATTTCGCATATAGGTGAGACCTATCCCGAGGACGAGCGCGTTCAAGGGCGTCACGGGGGTTACAACCCTTCGATTTACCAGTGAGTGGGCAGTTATTTTCTGTATATACCTATTTACTACTGACTTTTCCCAGAAATTGAATTTAAATAATAGTATGCTTTAAAATGCCATGCATGCATATTATATGAAATATATGAACTAGTATTTGATGCATATATGTTAAATGGTGCTGTGGACGCACATGTGAGTATCAGGTGAGTTTTATGTTGTTCATGTGATTTATTGTTTGATGTGATTTATGTTGAGAGCTCATAACCTGCACCCCTGGTGTTAGTGCTTATATTATTCACCCGCACCACACGTTCATCTTGGATCCAAGTAGGTGCATGTTGTACAGACCATTAGAGATGGTTCCAACATGTCGTATAGACCATTAGAGATGGTTCCGACTTGTAGGTAACTTTAGATTATTATACAGCTGTTGATGAGAGAAGCACTAGAGCATATTCTTACACCATTCTTGTCGTACAAACTACTTCAGATAGTTCCGACTTGTGTGCAGAGTAGTGCCGTACAGGTCACAGTTGGTGACTCCGGCTGGATTGGGTATTGAGCCATAGAATTAGCCGTACAGGACAGCTGCAGGGTCTCGGGTTGATTCCTTATTTCACTTGTTATATTGATGCATCCTTATTATGTTTTTGAAGCATAGCATGACATATTTTCCTGAAAAGTGTTAAAGACTTGTGATTTGAGTTATTTGCTGTTATATATGGTTTTATATATATATTATTTTCTGGGAAAGCATACAGGTTTTACAATGAGAGCAATTCCACTCATGGAGCCCTTCCCCCTGGCAATCCACTATTCAATCCACCCTATTAAACAGTAACTGCCTTAAATGAATAGTAACTACCATTAATGAACAGTAATTGCCATTTACATCTCCACCCTTAGAACCCTCCCCCTGTCAATAAGCAATCAAAATAATAGTTTTTTTTTTGTTGTTTAAATAATAAAAAATCCCCTCTCTCTCTCTCTCTCTCTCTGACACAAAAAAAAATAAAAAATACAAAGCACTCCGGCCATAGGCCCGTCGACTCCCTACCCCCCCCTTCGCTCGGGCTCCCACCCTCACTCGGGCCCTTCCCCGCTGGAGCTGCTCCCACCGGCCCTCAGGCCCTTTCTCCTCCCCTGTCGCCCGAGCAACCAGCATCCGCTGGAGTTGCTCTGAGGGGTTAAAAGTGTTATTAAATGAAATATTTTCGAAAAGCTTTGTTTTACTGACCCACTCAATCTTATTTTTGCGCCCCTCCAGGTTCTAGTTAGCAGTGTTGTTGGCTCATGAGGATTTCCACGGCGTTCTGACAGACTACCTAAATGTATGACTCACCCTCAGGTGTTGTAATTTAGTAATGGTCCTACTTGACTGCACCGAGTACTTATGCTCTGATTATGTGTGTTTCACACTTAAACTCACTCTAGCATGTTAGTTCGGATATTATTGCTAGTAGTTGGTTTTTACCCCTTCATATTTCTTTTACCTTTTTGCTTCTGCGTCGCACTTTTGGTTACGTCATGCCCACATGACGGCCAACACGCCCTGATTTTATGGTCGGGGTGTGTCAAAAAGTGGGTACAAACTAAAAATATAAATATATGATACAAAATTTAGGCATAAAACATAAATATACCATATGTAATTTTTCTATCATTGATTAAATATACAATGTCATGTGACGGTATACATGGTACAAACACAAATAAAACTTTAAAAAAAATATGGGTACAAAAAGAAACTAATATATGGGTACAAATTAAAAATAGGTACGAACTAAAAATAAAAATATATGATAAAAATTTAGTCATAAATATAAATATACATTTTTAACACTAAAGGAATATATTTAAAAATAAAAATATTTTATTATTCAAATAATTCATGATGTTATTAATACCAAGAACCTTGATCAAAAATTAAAAATGAAAGGAATTTTAATAAATAGAGTAACAAAAAGAAGGATGTGATTTCTTCTTTTTCAAATTTATGCTCCATTAATTTGATTAATTAATGTTGATAAGCCTATGGTGATGGACTTTTAAAACTCAATTGTCATGGGGTATGGCTGTGATGACTCTCTCATTTAAGTACTCAAAAAGGCCTGCTTGGGTCCATTAGTTTCACCCGTTTTAAAGGGCAAGAGACATGTAAATTGCTCGTATTATTCACTCTCAATAGTATTTATATTTGTGCAACTCCACTTGTTGGGTAAAGGTGATTACTATTCATAAATATTTTTTTTTTTTTTTTTGGGTTACCTTGTTGCATGTAAATTACAAAACGTGGTTGACGTTAATCTTGTTCGATGGAGCAAAGCCAGGCTTAATTTGCTTGGCATGACATCAACCTTGTTTGCTGGACAAGGCCAGGCTTAACTTGCTCGAGCTTTTGGATAGGCTTCGCATGACCCACCACTTGATCTCTTCGATTTGGCCCGCAGGAGGTGGTTTTTCAGGTTGAAGGTCATCTTTCAAGCCCTAGGCCTTGTCAGAATGACAAGGGTGAAGTTTTTGGGGGCATGTCATGACAGGCTGGGGTGGGGACTCGGGTGTGCTCTAGCCCACCGCAAATCAGAAAATGTTCTTGTCGAAAATTCTAGGGGCTCCCCTCGCCACTTGCAAGGCACTCCCGCCACCCCAACTCACATGAGAATAAAGACTAGAAAAAAATGGCGTATGCACCCGGCTTCATGAACGGTTGAAGAATATTGATATCGAGGAGGATGTGAAAGATATGCTGTTTTCTTTTGGTTTCAGACTGAGGAGGCAAATCATGCGCCACATGCCTTGCTATTAGGTGACTGGTTGAGCTTGACTTGATCTAGACAAAAAACACAATAATTTTTATTTAACTTTGTTTAGAATGAATCTCACGTCGATAAGATGACGGACGTACTTAAGTAAGTATCATAAAAAAAAAAAAAGTAAGTTGGACTACTCTTTATATTGCCAATTAATTTTATGGTGTAACCTCAACTTTTTTCATAGTATCAGAGCAGATTGTCTAGTGTGTGAAGCCCAACAGCCATACATGCTCCATGTCACCTTGTTGTGTTATCCATATGTTTAGGATTGAAAATCATCACATGAGGGGACGTGTTAAGAATAATTTAATTTGGACTCGTAGAGTTAGTAAGTTGGACTATTCTTCGTATTATCAATTAATTTTATAATACAACCTCAACTTTCTTCAAAACTAATCTAATTTAAATTGAGAAGAGAGGCTTTGAACTTGAGTCAAGTACAAGAAGAAGCACACCGCTCTAACCAATTTACTTAAGCCCAGAACTATGAGTCTTAAACCCCTTATATTCAAGCCAGTTATGAATTTTTTTTTTTTTTTGTCAAACTATAAATTTTGTTAAATTAAATGTTTGATTAACCATTAACAAAGTTTAAACTCACACCATCAAACAAAGACTCAATTCCTTTCCACTGCAGGCCAGTTATGAATCGGCTGTACCAATTTAAGTGCAATTTTTTAGAAAAACAAAAAGTGGAAACAAGGAAACACTCTGTTGATCAAAGTAATCCTGTTTCATTATACATCAATTTATTTATTTAATTTTTCTACTTTATGTCATTAATCAAACTAGCACAACAAAATTGGAATGTAACTATTTTCATGTAATTGTAGACATGAAAAAAACCCTCTACACTCATTTCGGCCAGTATCAACCAGCAGCTGAAATGACAAAAAAAAAAAACAACAAAAAAAAAGGAGAAAAAAGGTAGTAAAATTACGTTGTTCAAATCATCAGGAGAAAAAAAAAAAATATTGGAAATCAAACCAGAGTGGCGATCCCACCGTATCTGGGTCTAGTTCTATCAGGTGAAAGCCCCTCTTCCATTCCCTTCCTCTTGTTATTGTTGAGCGGCATCGTTTGCGGTTGTTGCTGTTCTAGTTCATGATCCTGCTCCTGTGATTGAGTCTCTGAGTTTTCAGATTCATCTTCTTGTTTTTCTTGGTTTTGATTGCTGGACTTGGTTTTCATCAAATGGGGTCTAAGCCTGCTCAAGTCTGATAGTCTCACTGGCTTTAAGAAAAACTCCTCAGCCCCTTCTTCCAAGCATCTGTTATTAACCACATAGTTTAATCAATTAAACTTCACAATTCAAATTTTCCTACCATTTTTTTAAGGTAAGTGATTTCTGCACTCCCTTTTTTTTTCTTTTCCGTTCACTCTGTTCCTCCCTTTTTCACTTTTCTTTACGTTTGGATAAAGGAGAATCAAGAGACGGAAACACGAGGAGTGCAGAAACAGAAAACGAGAGCGTGAAAATCCCTAAAAAGAAAAGTTACCTGGTGATTCTTGAAGGCACATTCTCAGATGACATGATCACAACAGGTATGTTCCTCAGAGATGAAGACTCCTGAGAAATCCACAAAAAAAAATAAAAAAAATCCTATAAACTTTTTGGAATGTGACAAAGGAAATCTTGCGACTGACATCTGGAACCTGACTTATTTTTGGGTTGAAAAATTGGTGGGCAAATATTCCAGGAGATTTTAATTGATAGTTTAAACCCAAGTGGGCAATTGGACAATTGTAAAACTCCATTGGACAGATGGAAGAAAACTCAATGGGGAAAGATCGAGGAAAAGAAAAAATGCAAGGGAATATAAAAAAATAAAAAGCATACCTTGATTTTCTTGAGCAAATCATATCCTGTCATTCCAGGCATACAGTAGTCTGTAATTACAAGATTCACTCCCACTTCCTGCACAACCACAGAAAACCAATCAAATTTAGAAACCCATATTTTTTTTATTAATATTTTTACCAAAAAACAGGGGGGGAAATGGAGAGAAAAGTAATCAAAAGATTGGGAATTTGAGAGATTGAGAGAGGACCCGTTGATTGTTTGGGGAGACAGAAGGTGAATCTGAACTGCTTTGGTCATCCTCATAAAACCCCAGAAACTCAAGAGCCTTGCTACCAGAATCAACTGTAGTAACTGCATTCAACAACCAAAACCCAACATTAATATGGTAAAACACTGAGAACCCATATTCTTCTTATTCTGGAAAGGAAAAAATGGAACTCGAAACCTCGAGTGCAGGGGTTTATTTACCTTGATACGATGAGGTCTTGAGGAGCCTCTCGATCAGCTTTCGATCGATGACGCTGTCATCAACAGCTAGAACGTGAAACTGTGAATCTGTGGCAGACATCCCCATTTCTCACAGAGGAAGAAGAAAGCAAATACCAAAAGAAAAAGCTAAAATTGTTTTTGTATGGTGTTGGTGCTGTTTTTTCTACGGGAGGAGGAGGAAATGAGAAACAAGGGAGGTTCGTTGTATTGAAATAAGAAGAGGAAGACCCACCAATATCCACATCCCACAAAGCAAGATCCGACCAGATTTCAGTGTTTCACCCCAAATCTGTTAATTTTTTCCAACTTGATTTTTTTGAATTACAGGGCAAGCAATGTGAAAAGAAAATGGAAATGACATGATTAATTTAATAATCCCGATGAAATTAATATTTTTATTTTATTTTTGGTTGACAGGCGGGAGGGAGGAGTAGTGGTGGGTTGTATGTATTTTTTTTATACAAATAGGACATTTTGTGTGAAAAATTGATTAGTAAGAATAAATAGTATTTTTTATTTAATTATGAATTTTTGTTTTTCAAACTACATATTAATTCAAATTATTGAAAAAAAATGCTAGAAAGTTTTGAGTGGATGAAAGCAAATTAAAACGTAGGGGTATTTGTTGTTTATTGTGTGTTTTACCTGAATTTTTTCTTTTTTAGTATAAAATATATTTGTACTCGAAAAAAGAAATAAGAGTAATAAGGTATTCACACATTTATTTTTTATTTTTTTAACATAATATATTATCAATACTAAAAAAGGTGAAAAAATACAGATTAAACGTCACATAATCATAATTTTTGTTTAGTTTATTTAATTCGATAAAACTCCGCCTATGTCTATAGCCGGTCCCAAGCCCGGATAAAGGAGGAGGGGGAGGGCGTCAGGTAGTCGACAGCCGGCACTCCATGATCACGTCGAATCCTTATGAAAATGAATCCAGAACAAAATCGCGCTAAAGCTAGGGCGTCACCCGTAAGTGGCGCGCTGTGTGGCCCGAGCACAGTGATAAGTGAGCAAGGGTCGCTGTATCTCCATTGGCACCCGGATGCAGTGTTAAATGAGCAAGGGGGCCATAGAAACTTCTTTTCGAACGACTCCACTCAAAGTTGTTTGGGAGCATATGCTCCTATCAACTTTACCCGGGACACACAAAAGAAGTACTTTGATCCTATTAGACGGGGGGAGGGTGAAGAAGCTAGGACAGAAGGGTAGAGTTCAAGAGAGCAAAATGCGTTTAGGAACGTGGAATATAGGAACCTTAACGGGAAAATCTATGGAAGTAGTGGAAGTTATGGTGAGGAGAAGGATAAATATTATGTGCCTACAAGAAACTAAGTGGGTTGGTAGTAAGGCAAAGGATCTAGAAAACTCAGGGTTTAAACTTTGGTATTCGGGCACACATAGAACGAGAAACGGTGTTGGCATCATCGTGGACAAGACCTTGGTACAAGATGTTGTAGATGTCAAGAGGGTAGGAGATAGAATCATGGCAATCAAGATTGTAATAGGACAAGAACTTATCAATGTGATTAGTGCGTACGCACCTCAAGTAGGGTTGGATACGAGTTCGAAGGAGAAATTTTGGGAAGATCTTGGAGACTTGGTGCAAGGAATTGCTCAGACGGAGAAGTTATTTATAGGAGGAGATTTAAATGGACACGTGGGCAGGGAGACAGGCAACTATGGAGGTTTTCATGGTGGCCATGGTTTTGGGGAGAGAAACGAGGATGGGGAAGCTATCTTGGATTTTGCAATGGCATATGATCTCTTCTTAGCCAACACCTTCTTTAAGAAGAGAGAAGAACATGTGATCACCTACAAGAGTGGGTCGTCAAAAACACAAATAGATTTTCTTCTAATGAGGAAAGGGGATCGTATAACTTGTAAGGATTGCAAAGTTATACCAGGAGAGAGCGTGGCTAATCAACATCGCTTGTTGGTGATGGATGTACATATCAAAAGAGTGAGACAAAAGAACAAGACTTGGAAGTGCCCAAGGACTAGATGGTGGAATCTAAAAGAAGAAAAACAAGCCATTTTCAAAGAGAAAGTAATCACCCAGTGTGTGTGGGATAGAGAGGGGGAAGCTAGCCAAATGTGGGATTCCATGGCTAGTTGTATCCGAAAAGTAGCAAAAGAGGTATTAGGAGAGTCCAAGGGCTTTGCCCCACACCAAAAAGGAATCTTGGTGGTGGAATGAGGAGGTACAAACAAAGGTGAAGGCTAAGAAGGAATGTTGTAAAGCCTTATACAAGGATAGGACCGATGAAAAATGGTGAAAGGTATAGAAAAGCGAAAGCAAGAGGCGAAGAAAGCTGTGAGAGAAGCTAAGTTAGCGGCTTACGACGATATGTATAAACGACTAGATACCAAAGAAGGAGAGTTGGATATCTATAAACTAGCTAGAGCAAGGGAAAAGAAGACAAGGGACCTAAACCAAGTGAGGTGCATCAAGGATGAGGATGGAAAGGTTCTTGCTACAGAGAACGCGGTTAAAGACAGATGGAGAGGTTATTTTCATAATCTTTTCAATGAAGGACATGAAAGGAGTGCTTCTTTAGGGGAGTTGAGTAACTCAGAAGAGTGTAGAAACTACTCTTTTTATCGTCGAATCCGGAAGGAAGAAGTGGTTGTAGCTTTGAAGAAGATGAAGCATAGAAAAGCAATAGGCCCAGACGATATACCAATCGAAGTGTGGAAAGTTTTGGGAGAGACAGGTATAACATGGCTCACTGACCTTTTCAATAGGATTTTGAAAACGAAGAAGATGCCAAATGAGTGGCGAACGAGCACTTTGGTGCCTATCTACAAGAATAAGGGCGACGTACAAAATTGCATGAACTATAGGGGTATTAAGCTAATGAGTCATACAATGAAGCTCTGGGAGAGAGTCATTGAGCATAGATTGAGGCAAGAGACACGGGTTTCGGACAACCAATTCGGGTTCATGCCAGGGACGCTCAACCATGGAGGCAATCTATCTCTTACGAAGATTGATGGAAAGATATAGAGATGGGAAAAAGGATTTACACATGGTCTTTATAGATTTGGAAAAAGCGTATGATAGGGTTCCAAGAGACATTCTTTGGAGGATTTTAGAGAAGAAAGGAGTACGAGTAGCATATATCCAAGCTATAAAGGATATGTATGAAGGAGCAAAAGACTGCCGTAAGAACTCATGAAGGACAAACCGAAAGCTTTCCCATAACTGTAGGATTACATCAAGGCTCATCCTTAAGTCCTTACCTTTTTGCGTTGGTAATGGATGAGTTAACAGGACATATTCAAGATGATATTCCTTGGTGTATGCTTTTCGCAGACGATATAGTGTTGATAGATGAAACTCAGGAAGGGGTAAATGCAAAGCTTAACCTTTGGAGAGAAGTGTTGGAATCTAAAGGTCTTCGCCTTAAGCCGATCAAAGACAGAATATATGGAGTGCAAGTTCAGTGCAAATGGAGGCCAAAACGAGTTAGGGGTGAGGATCGGAGATCAAGAAATACCAAAGAGCGACCGTTTTCGTTACCTAGGATCTATCTTGCAAAAGAACGGAGAATTAGATGGAGATCTCAACCATAGAATACAAGCTGGATGGATGAAGTGGAAGAGTGCATCCGGCGTGTTGTGTGACCGCCGTATGCCACTGAAGCTCAAGGGAAAATTTTATAGGACGGCAATAAGGCCGGCGATGCTGTATGGCACAGAATGTTGGGCGGTGAAAGCATCAACACGTACACAAAATGGGTGTAGCGGAGATGAGGATGCTTCGTTGGATGTGTGGGCACACGAGAAAGGATAAGATTAGGAATGAGGATATCCGGGGTAAAGTAGGAGTAGCCGAAATTGAAGGAAAGATGAGAGAAAAATCGGTTACGGTGGTTTGGACATGTGCAAAGAAGGCCTACTGACGCTCCGATTAGAAGATGCGACTATGGGACAGAGGTTCAGGGCCGAAGGGGTAGAGGAAGACCTAGGAAAACTTTGGAAGAGACTCTAAGAAAAGACTTAGAGTACTTGGATCTAACGAAGGACATGACACAGGACCGAAGCACAATGGCGTTCTAAGATTCATATAGCCGATCCCACTCAGTGACTTGGATTTTCCAAGTCTCCAACCGAGAAGTTTTCCTCACTCGGGAAATTAAGGGAACACTACCTCAACCTACATGCTCCACTCACAAAGCTTCCAACAAAAAGAAAATTCAAAAGAACTTAGCGAAGAAGGCTTTGGTGTATTTAACACAATACGTTGAAATGAAGGAAAGCTTATTTATTGATATCCCCGATAAGCTACAAATATGTACATATACATGAGTCAAAATAAACACAACAAGAGGG